CGTTCCAAACCCGTTACGGAAAACAAACTCAGTGTCATCCAGGTATTCCTCGCATTTATTGTAGATACGACCATGTATTACCTTCAGAAAAATTTTCAATAAGTGATTTAACAAACTGATGGTTCTATAATCAGCACAGGTTTTTTGCTGTTGTCTTCTTAGGTAGAGCTATAAACAATGAATTAGACCAACCATTAGGTAGTTGTCCGCTGGTATAAATGGTATTGAAAAACGAAATTATAGCCTCTAAAACATTGCTATCATTTATAAGCTTGTATATTTCAGTTGGAATTTCACCAGGACCAGTCACTCTGCTATATTTTGATGATTGTATGGCTTTTATAACCTTAGAACACGTTTTTAAGGGTCCGTCGCAGTTAGTAATATCGGGAGGTGAACTACTCCTGAATTAGGTGCATAGGTGAATATTGTCGGTGATATTCATAATAATGTGTGTCATATTGGCATCATCGTTTGCTTTCATTCATTCAATCTGAACATGATTACGAAATCCTTTTTACGTTTACTTCTGACCGACTAACAAGTGTCAGTTGTCATTGTCATTGACATAAATTTCAGTTGCCCTTATCTTGTTCGTTCGTTTATTTAAAGTATTTTTTATATATTGTCGACCATAATCGAATTCATGAGCAGCAAATCAAAATAAAGAAATAACTCTTCGAATATATATTACCTGCTTGTAGATATAAGAAGAAAATTCCAATTTTTTAAAATGCGCATTATATTATCTGAAAATACGTTGTTGTTTGTTTGCTTTTATGTTTTTGTAAGTGTTTTGCTATGTTATGAAGATGATCCTTATATTTTCAACCATAAAATAAAATTTAATTAAAAAGTAAAAGTTTGAGGATTGATATCATTTATAAACATATCATTCATACATCTTTACAAATGTTTGGTATCAGTTAAAGTGATCTCTACTTCAGAAGCATTGCTATTAGAATTGGCAACTTTCCAATTGCGATTGAGGTAGCCGATCTGAGGTGAGCTGATCTCGGGGCAAATTTCGATATCTGAGCGGCACTGTCACATTGGAATTTTTCGCTGGTCGCTTTAACCGTTTTTTCTTAGGAGACGGTTCACAAAAAGTACTAACAAATATTTTAAATTATATTATATCAAATCCACAACGAAGTCCATCTTGTTCATCTCGTTTTTCGAGTTTAGTACCGATCAAAATTTAGCAGTGTGTAGTTCTTGGTTGTTCTGAAAGTCCTTTACAATGCCTATAGTACGAAGACGCCCATATTTCCATTAACTGAGCGAGTTTGATATGGGGTGGGTAGTTGGCGTAAGAGACGCTGAACTTTCTTTTCGGGAAATTGCGAATAAGGTTCAAAGAAGATTAAATACTGTATTAAGATATTATCAGGCATGGCACCAAGAGAGCTGATCGCGAAGATCAATCATCAAGATCCTTAGTATGATGACTCTAAGACACTGCTTCTCCACTCATCTATTGCAAGACAATGGTTTGCAGAACGTGGAAGACCAATTTGGATGCAAACAATTTATCGTCGAATTTGTACTTTTGGCCTTTTTTCATTTCGGCCACACTGGGTGCTACCTCTTACACTTGAACATTGACGTAATCGTGTTGAATGGTGCAGCTAACGATTGGCTTGAGACCAGGAATTGAATGGGGTTGTCTTTAGTGATTAATCTCGATTATATTTAGGATACTAATATACTAATATTGAAAATATTAGTATATTATATAGTATAAACTAATACTAATACTAATATTGAAAACTACAGACCTATAAATTTGTTGTCACACTTATACAAATTGTTAACAAGAATAATAACTAACCGCATAACACAAAAACTTGATTTATATCAACCGGTTGAACAGGCGGATTTAGAAAAGGTTTGGTGCTAATGATCACTTACAAACCATCAGAACACTAGTAGAAAAAACCACAGAATATAATGTACCTTTACATATGGCATTTATCGACTTTCACAAGGCTTTCGATAGTATTGAGACTTGGTCCTTTTTGTCAGCCCTGAAGGATGCTCGAATAGACTCACGGTACACTACACTCATTAAAAACATTTATGAACAGGCCACATTCCACATCAAAATCAATGAAGACGAAAAAACTGAAAAAATGCGCCTTGATAAAGGTATTAGACAAGGTGATACTATTTCACCAAAGCTTTTTACCTTAGCATTGGAAAATGTATTCAAACAGCTTGACTGGGAGGAAAAAGGTCTAAACATTGATGGTGTACGTTTGAGTCATTTGAGGTTTGCGGATGACATAGTATTATTTAGTACAGATATCAAGTAACTGGAGCAAATGTTGAAGGAATTAAACCAGCAGTCAAATAAAATAGGTCTCAAAATGAACCTTCAGAAAACAAAAATAATGAGTAATTTACAAACTAATCTTGTTATTGACAACGTCAGTCTTGAAAATGTAGACCACTATTATATATCTTGGACATACCATCAAAATCGGCAAAGAAAATCAAATATCCGAAATAAAAAGACGCATACAACTGTCTTGGCGAGCTTTCGGCAAATTAAGCTTTATTTTGAAGAATAAAGATATACCAATGTGTCTAAAACGTAGAGTTTATGACAAATGTATCTTGCCTGTAACTACATATGGACTGGAGACCATGGCCTTCACAAATAAAACCTTAGAGCAGCTCAGTACAACCCAAGAGCAGAGAGGCCATGCTAGGGATTAGTTTGAGAGACAGGATTCGAAATGACGTCATTCGTGAAAGAACAAAATTACTGATGTCTCAGAACGTATTGCAAGGCTCAAGTGGCAATGGGTCGGACACGTTGCCCGAGATAATCCCGAAAAATGGACACAAAGATTAACAAACTGGAGACCAAGAGAGAACAGCGAGGAGTAGGCAGACCGCAGAAGAGGTGGACAGACGATATCAAACAAGTCGCGGCAAGCAGTGGATGAGAATTGCCAAAAGTAGAAATCGATGGAAGCAAATGGAAGAGGCCTATGTCCAGCAGTGGACGAACACAGGCTGAAGAAGAAGAAGAATAAGATATTTAGGGATGCATGATGGCCGACTCAGGGTCAGAAGACGATGTGGTTAAAGACAAATCTACAGTTTTTGTCGGCAGCTCAGTGACATGTAGAAGAAATTCTGAAACCTTAATCTCATACCCTACCTTCAGACGTTCCAAAGTCCAATGGTTAAGCAGGTAATGCATGGTCACGCATTTCAAAGAGTCACTATGGACTTTTTAAACAGGCTGGATTCAATATTTTACCCTGGCTACCGAGATCTCCAGATGTATTTCCAATTAAACACGGTGTGACATAATGGGTCCGGACTTCTTAATTTAGAGCATTGTCACACCTCAGCCTAGCATCTTGACATATATCTTTTTGTTTGTGATTGTGTAATTCTATTAATTTTTTGTTCTGCTGTCAGGGTTTTTCCAAGTCCATTCTCTTTGTTTAAATTTTTGGAAATACGTATTCTTGAGGAATAGTTTCGGCAATAGTTTTATTGGATTTAACCCCTAAGATTCCTATTTCCACTAGAAATTTGTCCTTCAATCCGACCGTTGACTTTAGATTCAATAGGGTTTTCCTTGACACTAGTTTTTTCACTGGATATTAGGACTTTTTCTTTAGCAATTGTTGCGGGGTCCGACAGACTTTCCGACAACGACATGATTTCCGGTAGGACCTGTCCACTGGGTGTCAGCCGTACCTATAATTTAAATTTCACTGCTGCCGATGATTTTTTCGATAGCTCGCTAGTATCTAGAAAAACATACCAAGGTCAAATAAACCGTAAACAATAAATAAAAATATAGCAACATGGGTAGAGACGGTCCTGCATATGCTTTGTCAGACTGTAGTAAAAAGGAATTTTAAAGTATTCCATTTCTAAATAATTTAATCTACAATTTATGATCGATACTCGAAAAACTATATTTCCAACTTGATTTGAATAGACCAATTAATATGCCATTAAAAAGCACTATATTATTACAGAACTGAACAATCAGCGGTTGTAATGTCGTAATTAGGATGAAGCGATGAAGTTCTGTATTACTTTAACTTCGGTATTGAATTCCTTATTAGTTTCATTTATTCTATCTTTTTTATTTAGACTATATTATGTGCTTTTCGTCGTGCTTCTATAAAAAAAATTTCGTAAGTTCTGGTCTTGATCTTATGAAAATAACTTCTTGAAAAAAAAAATGCAAAAATTGGACCACTTTTTTTCATTTCTTGTACCTACTCCAAGTTTGATGAATTGTTTAGGAATATAATATTTCAGTATTCATTTAGTATTGTTTGTTAGCTCCTTTTATTCTCCATTTTACATTTGATTTTTCGTGGTCCTCTACGATATTTTGGTTTATTAGTTTCACTTCTTTCTTAATGTCCAGCATGCCTAACGATTTATCCTGTTGGCTCACGGATGTACTTTCTCACTTTCGAAATAATATTATTAAAGTAATAAAAACAATTAAAACATTTTAATATCGCACATAATTCTTCGTAAAAAAATGTATATTTTTTATTCCATGCATAAACAATATGAAACCGTGTGACCTAGAGCCATCTATTATAGAGAAACACAACTACATTAAGTTAGCAAATACATATTTTAATGTAGGTAAATATTTAAAGTTTATTCAATGTGAAAATATATTTAAAATTTATTATAATTGTCATATATTTCGTTCGTGTTGAATAAAATGGAAATAAAATTTTTTCATATTAATGGACAAACAATGGCGGTGTAGATATATGTTTTATTAAAATATTACCGTTAGTTGAGTATAATGATTAGATTTTAACGACTTCTGAAACGTTCTGTACGGTCAACTTTACCTGATTATTATAACAATTGTCCATATTTCCTTTCTGTGTAATAAACATTAATCCCCATTCTTCACAGATCATTATTATAAGTTGGTAACACGGATTTTCCCACGTTGCCTTGGAAACATCTGTTTCTGTTACTTAACAGTTAGTTTTAAAAGTTTGGTGTTGATGTAAACAAACTGTGTTTCCAGTAAAACAGTAATGCTTGTGTTTTCTATTTATTTTATGCATTCAAATGTTGCTTGTTTTACACTTATTATTAGTTTTTCACTGTGGAGACGCCGTTTACCATGAAGATAATTATTTTACAGGTTATTTGATGGTTTTATTTGAACTTGAATAGAGATATGTATGCAAACTGCATGTTTGAATGAGATGCAGTCAATTAAAATTATGTTTCTTCGTTAGATTTAGTGACTTAAAAGATTGAAAATTTGTAATTTTTATGTTCCAGTTCGGACACAAATTGTTCAACCACCAGTTGACACCAGAGTACTTTTGGGACAAACTGCTACATTGCAGTGCAAAATTTCTTCGGATCCCACAGTTCCATATCAGTTAGATTGGTTTCGTGATAAACAGTAAGTAGATCTTAAAACGGTTTATTCAGCAAGTGGCTTCAAACTTTTATTTATTGAAATTCAACTGTATCCAACAATTATAATCTGAACTAAATGTATGAAAATTCTTTACTGAGATCATGTTTTCTATTTGTTTTTCTATTCTATCATTTTGTATAAGACCTACTTTTACAGTTTTTATACTGAGATGTGTGTACAGTTTGCTTTGGAATATAATGTAAAGGTTTATTTTCTTCAGTGCTACATTTAAAACCATTCATACAGATTAATAATATTAGAATTTCTAAGGTATTCACATTGCTTTATATCCATAAAAGTTTTATACATATTTCACAGAATAATATTTTCAGCAGTACATTTTTTGCCAATTTCTTTATGTAATGGGTCTCATTTGTATTATATTTTTTTGTGTGTAGTTTTAAATAGCTTGTAGAATTTTCTTACAGATTGTTTTAGATATATATTTGTAATGTGATGAAGCATATTTTGTTGGTTTTATTCTCCAGAATTATAGATATTTCTGGACAAACTTTAAGCTAGGTTTGTGTGTATATCAGTTGCTGCTGTTGGATTTGTGTGATTCTCTATTAAATATTGTCTATATTTTCTTAGATTAATAAGCCCTCGTGGATCCCAAAGAATCAGAATTCTCAGTGATGGAACATTAGAAATTGAAGCTGTCAGGGCATCAGATGTAGGCTTTTACACCTGTTCTGTCCTCTCTCCTGGTGGCAATGAAACGAGGTCTGCAAAATTATCAGTAATAGAGCTACCTTTCTCTCCATCGAGTGTTAAAGCTGAAAGAGTTGATAATGGATCACAAAGAGCAGTAAACGTAAGTTGGACACCAGGTTTTGATGGCAATAGCCCAATAAAGAAGTATATTGTGCAAAAAAGAGAAATACCAGAGCTGGGTAAGTATTGAATCTTTACTTAATGTTGAGGCTTTAAACACTGTTTTTGTGTTATACTGCTCTTAATTATACCTATCCTTTGATTAGAAAGCCGTTTTTGATCATGGTGATTGGTGGTGTTGGAATTTTCATGCCAATAATAAAATACTAATGCTTAATAATGTGTATAATGATGTTCCTTTGAAAATATACTAACACCATTACAAATAACTTATAATCTCAAACAACTTTTTTAGTATTTTTTGAAAGTGACACTTTGTATACCGTACAATAATAAATCAAAGGAAGCTTTGTTGCATCTAACCCTATTCATCTAAATGCTTATTAATGTGGTGAAGGCTTACGAAATAACTTATTGTAAATATTAACATAATTAAACCCTTTTGCAGTTGACAACCATATCACAACACTGAACTAAACACCAGAAACATCTATCATTACCATAGACTTATAATACCACTAGATCTTTCATAATAAATATAATATTAATTTTATTAGTATTTGTGTTATGAGGAAAATTCATGCTTTGAACTAAACTTTCTGAGCTTATTAGTTAACAAGGTAACAGTAACCGGTAAGTGCTCATATTCATAAAACTATATAATCAGGGAAAAATTCGATATATAAATCATGGAAATAATACATTTTTTTATATGATACGAATATTAAAACATTAATCGAATTCTATAAATATACGAATTCTATAAACCTAGTACTGACCAAGCTTGAGTACATTTTATGTACTTCATTGATCATTATGACTTGATTATTGGTTGTTACATTGAATTATGTATGCACTCATTATCATATATTGTGGTTTTTCTATTTTAAGTAATGTTGTGACAGAATATGTCATACTACTAACCAATACAACATTGTTTATTTTGTGTTTGATGTATGATGAGGTGATTATTATCCAAGATTATGTAGATTTGCGAGATTGCATAATCCAAGATTATAAAGTAGGTACATGATGCGAAAATTGGTAGAAGAATATAATATAGAAGGGAATGGAATGAATATGCAGAAGACTGAATATATAAATATTCATGGATAACAATTACTAAGGATGGAACACTGGACACAGCAATCAAAAAAATTAATATGTGAAAGAAACCTGAAGATTTATGTAATGATAGAAAAAGATGGCATAAACAAATACAGAAAGAAATCAAAATAAAAAATCAGAATAGCAAAAGAAGATTTTTATAAAAGAAAATGTGAAGAAATAGAGCAATTGCAGGTACACAAAAACGTAAGCAGCCAAATACCCTGTATATTGTCAATGGAAACATAATAACAGAACTAGAAGAACAGTTGAAGTCATGGAAAAACTATATTGAAGAACTCTTTGCAGATGATAGACAACAATCTAGCTAAGTAACATACAAGGAGACGAAGGTCCAGAAATAACAGAAGAGGAAGTAATGTACGCACTAAAAAGAATGAAAAATGGTAAAGCCCCAGGTCCAGATGAAATACCAACGGAAATCCTTAAACTAATAGAAAAAGACTCGATTCACATTTTAGTTGAACTTTTTAATAGCATTTATACATGAGGAAAAATACCGCAAGAATGGCTTTTACCCACCTTTGTTATTATACCCAAAAAGATAAATGCCAAACAATGTAGTGATTACAATCAGTCTGATGAGCCATGTACTGTAACCTATGAAAATATTCCTGATAATTATACACTCTAGAGTACACAGAAAACTGGAAATGGACATCAATAATATCCATTTGGATTCCGAAATGGACTCGGAACAAGAGAGGCGTTGTTTGCACTGAACGTTATGTCTCAAAGATGTCTTGAGATAAATCAAGATGTATTCATATGTTTCATAGATTACAACAAGGCCTTTGATACAGTGCGGCATGATCACCTAATCAGACTCCTGACAGAAAAGAATTTAGATAAACGAGACATCCGACTAATAGCTAGATACAATCAGAAACTACAATCAGAAAGCAGTAGTGAGAGTAGAGAATAAAAAAAAACAATAATTTAGGTAAAAGATTGTCGGGCCCGCGTAGCGCAAGCGGTAGTGTGCTTGCCTCGCATGCCGGTGGTCGTGAGTTCGAATCCTACCGCCGGCAAGAACAACTAGGCATTTTTAAAAATGTCTATAGGCCCCAGGTCGACTCAGCCTGAATAAAATGAGTACCTTGGGTAAAACCAGGGGTAATAATAGGCGGTTGAAGCGTAGCACTGGCCATGTTACCTTCCTTGTATACCGTAGGCCCTAGATATAGCAGACTACCCTGCTATACTCCCAAAGCCGCGTGCGGTATAAAACGGGAGACTATTATATTATAGGTAAAAGATGCAGCATAGTCAGAACCATACCTTAAAAATATTTCCAAATATACAGGTCTGCCCATATTAACAGGGTGGAACATACATATCTTTTTTTAATGCTTTTTATTTTGCTTTTTCGCAAAGAGTGTGAAGTTTTCTACTTACTGTTAGTGTTCAATTTTTCTGTTAAACTTACTAGTAGAATTTATAAAAAAAAGTCATTTTTAAATTATTAATTATAGTTTGGAAAAAATATATCGAGCAGTTCTTGTTTATTACAATTTTTAACATACCAAATCACATACGAAATAATTTTTATACAAAACAGATCAGTCAAGGTTTTTGTTATATCGGATCCTCTACTAATAGAGCTCATGTAGTTTTTGGGGTTTTAATAAAATATATAAATCAGTTTTAACAAATATCTTCTTCAAATAATTGGTATATTAATGTATCATAATACTAGGATTGTCACATTATTGGCTGCACATTTTCTTAATTCTTCGCAGGTTCAGACATAACTATTCATTGTCATTTATTACATATTGCTTTTAATACTGGTGGCCGATCAATCAAAATAACAACCATCCATTGTATTAACCATCTAAAATAGGAAAATTTATACAGTGATTCCACGGATGGGGTGTCCAATAGGAGAAACTTTTTTATTTTTATTGATAAATGTCGTTCTTGATAAAAAGTTATGCTTGTTCTAAAGCCCTATAAAATGAAATTTAAAGTTTTTTAAAACCTGCTTCAGTTCATAGTTAATATTGTGTAAATGCCTATAAGTTGTTGTACCAAGAAATGAAAATAGACCTACTGGGAATCAGAACTGAGTAAATATGTGACCAATTTTGAACAGAAACTTAATAAACACGAAATTTTATATATTATAGGCGACTTCAATGTAAAAATTAGGGAAGGTCGACGAGGTCAGACTGTAGGTCCTTATGGTTTAGCTCAACCTAACGATCGAGGACAGAGATTGTATGAATTTTGTAAAGAAAACAATATGATCATTGCAAACACCTGGTATAAACTACCCAAGCGACGACTATACACTTGGAAAGCCTCATTTGATGATGGCAATAACCCGGAGTCTTCAAGAAATCAAATAGACTTCTTCTTCTTAGAGTGCCGTCTCCCTACGGAGGTTGGCACTCATAATTGCTATTTTTATTGTAAAACTTGCTGCTCTAAACAAATCAATCGATCTACATTGATGCCAATCACGTAGATTCGTTAACCATGAGTTCTGCCTTCGACCAACAGATCTTCTTCCTTGAATTTTTCCCTGTATTATCATCAAATAGAACTTGTAAATGAGCGTTTCTGAAATGCCGTCAAAAAAGTCACTACATTTCCTGGGCAGATATTGGATCTGATCATCAACCACTTGTAGCAGATATTAAACTAAGGTTAAAACGAATTCAGTGACAAAAACCAATGTACTTAACTTTGACGATATAAACATAAAACATAACATTAAAAAAGGATTTAACAATAGAATAAAAAACATCGGAGAACAACTAGAAGATCCAGAAGAACTATGAAGTGAATTTAAAAACCAAGTTAACGAAATCTACACAAACAATGATTATAGAAAAAACTTAATCAAGAAAAATAAATGGATGACAGACGACATCTTGAAATTAATGGAACAACGTCGACTGATAAAATCTAATGAAACAGAATATAGACACATGCAGAGAAGAATAAAAAAGAGATCAAATCAGCCAAAGAAAAATGGATGAGAGAAAGGTACGACGAAATGGAGGATGTAATATCTAAACACGACTTATTTAATGTGCACAAAAAATTAAAAGAAATGAGTAATATATTTAAAAATCGAGTTCCCTCTGTACTCGTTGACAATAATAAAATTATTGTAAATGATCACAAAATAAGAAAAGAATGGCAGCTGTATATATCAGAGTTGTTTGAAGGTGACAGGAATAATATTGCCGAATTCTAACCAAAACTGTACTGACGGACCAGAAATTAATGAAATGCCAGGTAGAAACACGCTATATAATGCTAAATGCAAAAGCTTGTGGTCCAGATGATACACCAACTGAGTTGCTGAAACTAATAGAGAATGATAACATAAAAAGTAGTAGTAAGACTTTTTAATTAATATATAACACCGAAGTGATTCCCACAGATTGGCTCAAATCCATCTTGTCGCAATACCTAAAAACACAATGCGAGAAAATGCTCAGAATATCGATTAAATAGCCTAATGACCACACTCTTAAATTTTCATAAGAATACTTCACAGCAGAATTAGACGCAAATGCGAAGATCTTGAAGATACCCAATTTGGTTCTAGAAATGCTATGGGAACCAGGAGGCACTTTTTGCGCTTAACATCCTATTACAAAAATGCCGTGACCAAAGAAAACATGTATTTGCCTGTTTCGTGGACTTCGAAAAGGCATTCGATAAAGTACAGCATGTAAAATTAATGCAAATACTGAAAAATATCAGAATAGATGACAAGGATATTCGTGCCATTAAAAATTTGTACTGGAATCAAACTGCTATCATAAAAATTGGAGATAACTACACCGATGAAATCTCTATACAACGAGGAGTCAGACAAGGCTGCATTTTGTCGCCAACATTGTTCAATGTTTACTCGGACCAGTTATTTAAAAAGGCACTTGAGAGACAACCATATGGAATAAAAATCAATCAATCATGTGATTAGATATGCAGACGATATAGTAATATCAGATAATATTGAAGGTCTTATTGAAGATGAAATTCGCATTAATATTGACCAACAATATCCTTTCAAATCCTTAAGTCTTTCAAACAATACATTGGCGAATATTTTATATGCAGATGCTAACAGAGTAATGCCTCTATAGTTCTTACACTCTATTGATCAACCTTTTTATGCAACGGACATATTATTCCCTTTTGCGACTCTTCTGGTATCAATCCATTCTGCCATATAAGTACTATTAGTTTATGGATTGCTGCAAAAAGTTGATCACCACCTTTTTTATACATTTCCGAACATATTTCATCGATTCCTGAGGCTTTATTGTCTTTAAGTTTTAGGATGGCATTTGACACTGCTTCTCTTGTTGGGTCTTCACTGTGAAGTTGACGTAGATTTTGTTGATTGTCTATGTTGTAACCTCCTTCAATATCGTTTATATTTAGATGTTCCCTGAAATATTGTGCCCATCTGTTAAGAACTGTGTCTTTACCAATTTTTAATGGTGGTTTAAATTCTCGACGGTTATTATTTAAGGATTTGTAGTATTTCCTCGCTTCATTTTTATCGAATAAACTTTGTATCTCATTGAGATTGTTCTGTTCGTATTCTCTCTTACGTCGATCGATACGTTTTTCCTCTCTTCTAAGTCTCACGTCTATAGTCTTCTTTTTTTTCCGTGTATAACCTGCGTCGATGGTTTTTTGATATTTTTTAGTACCTATGCTTTTTAAACAGTTTTTAAACTGTCTCAATATGTCAGTAGAATTTGGCACAATCACTTGTGAAATTATGAGGATTACTCTCTTTTTTAAATATATAATGAGAGTATTGTGCCGCCAATCATTAAGAACTACACTATAATTATAATTGACTATTTGAATCATTTCCATTTATTCGCCAGTATACATATAGCTATTGCTAGTAATTTAACGGAGTTCATTTCAAGTCTTTTGCAGCAAGAACTGAAATCGAAGTGATTTTAAAATGCTCATATGAACAAACATATCGAAAGCGTTTTGCTTGGAAAAGCGGAAAATTGATGTTCTAACGCAACGCTTTTTAACCGAACGAGGCCTTAATCAAACCAATAAGTTTAATAAACAAACAGGATCGTATCAAAGGGGTACATTGGGCAGTTTTTTTTTTGTTTTTTTCCTGGTGCGGAATATAAAAAGCTCATTTATAATCAGGCCGAATAGTACTAGCAATTTTATATTTAACTTACTATATCAGGTTATCAAAAAATCCTTCCCAAATACTAACATTTGACCCACGAGAGAATAGACTTCTCCTACTAACACATATATAACACAAAAACACTGTTTAACTGCATGGGCATGTAGCGAGGTAATTTATTTTGTACAAATTCCCTTATTTTAAATTTTTGCCTTATATAATTTGGGACTAAACAATTATTTATTATTTAAAAAAAAAATCATTTTATTATTGATTTATTGCAAAATGTATGCATGCTCATATTCGATTCGTTTCCATTTTCGCCCTTCCTATACCGAAAACAGAGTTATTTGTTCAATCAGTTCCCCCCATTGCAGGACCGATTCCAGATCCGCTTCTCAACTGGGTCACTGAGCTCAGTAACGTCTCAGCCGCTCAGAAATGGGTGCTGTTGACCAATCTCAAGGCTGCTGCTGTGTACCAATTCAGGGTAAGCGCTGTAAACAGCGTTGGCGAGGGACCACCGTCCGACCCCAGCAACCAGGTTATGTTGCCGCAAGAAGGTAAATTTTTGTCATAAATATACATAACATATAAGTAGCAATATATTCGTTGTTGTACGTCATACATCCAATAAAGCCAGATGTAAATCATTTAAAAAAATTGCCAAATGATTCGTATAAATTTAATTTTAGGTAATTTAGAGCGTCTGATACAAAAATTTAGATATTTTGCAGAACACGTATTGGGTACACTTTTTATCTAATATTTTTTTAATATGAGACGAAAACTACAGTGACAGTCTAAAAAATGAATTCATTTAGTAGGTTTTTATTATTAATGAATTGTATTTTATTAGACTTCTTTTAAATTATTATACAACTTTTGATTACAAAAAATGTTTCTTCTGTTTTTTTGTTCGTTTATTTTAAAGAAGTGCCAAAAATTTTTCTTCAAAAAATTACTGCCCTATCCATAAGAAGGGTTTTAAAAAAGAAGTGCCCCTACGTGATAGTTTACCAGAAAAATTGAAAATTCTTAAAAAAAACAAAATGCGGGACATTTGAAAAATTTACCACTTTTTCAACTCTTTTAAACCTTTATTCGGACGGCCTCATTATATATACACAAAAGTCGGGCCGGGATCTGAACGGACTCCATCTTAATGTTGTGAATATGCTTTTACGAAAAAAACAAAACAAAAATGTAACAGTATCACATTATTTTATAAGTATTAAACATTTTATTAGGACTAAAGCATACCTCATGACTGCAAAATCACATTCTACTGCTGACTTAACAGACTAAATAACAACTACATATATTTGTACAATGTACAAACAATATATTAATTTTGCGTGTTTTTCATACATACAAATTTTTTACATTTTCAATATTTTATAGTTTTTCTGTCTGCTACAACACTCATGGCGCGGCCTTGTTATTTTTTGTTTGTTTACTCTGGGCTCAGTAATATTCATAAAGTTCTGGAAAAAATCTGTCATTATGACGCTTTTTATTCGTTTCGATGTGCTTATTGTTATATCGTTCTGAATATATATTCCATTATAGGGATTATGGGTATGGAAAATATGTAAAATCTATGGGATTCCCACAATATTACAACTTTATTATATTATTACTACTATTTAATTACAGTTAGGGAAGACTAACGATTTAAAATTATGATCTCTAAACTAAACAGAACAAAAATTGTGATTCTTGGGTCAAAATAGATCACGGCCATGTCGATAAAGGTTAATTACAACTTGGATGCATTTTGGTTTGTTTTCTTTTTTTAGGTGTACAACAAATTTAAACTGAAATGATCTTGTGGTTAAATAAAATAGAGAAAATATGTAAATTCTTGAACCAGGTTTTTCAAATGTCTCTCATTTTGTTTTTTTTTTAATATCTAATTTTTCTGGTAAACTGTCAGTGTCCGTTTTCAGAGATTAAACAGTATTTTTTGTGACAAAAAAAGAATGGAATAAATAAATGTCTATCTTCACAAACTTGTATAATAGTATATAAAAAAAAACGTTTGATTGTCATTATATACTAGATGAGATACAAAAAAAAATTGTTGAAAATGTGTCATTTTTTAGCATTATAGACGGTAGAGCTCCATTTAATATAAATGTGAATATATTTTTAATAAATAAAGGTCATGGAAAATTTTAATATATACCCGTATTTTGACGTGGACAACTGATGTATAGTTGAATGAATATGTTATTGATTCAACAATTTTATATTATTGCACTATGGTGGAATGCATCCAGGATAGTTCGGAATAAAGTAGGAATCATGGATTTAGGGCATAAAGATTCTCAAAAAGCATCAAAACTGCCGACAACTGTATTGACAAAGTTAATGTGTTCTTTCAAGAGATGCTTTGCGTCAAGACCGAAATACCGAATGCGATTTCAACTGGCAAAGCACCAGATCAAGAAATTCAACTTGACTCCCTGAAGATCTAAACGGGAATAACTCTGTTTCTTCGCTGTTGGCATCAAAAACTCCGCAGCAATAATATTTTATGTAGGCAATAGTCGCGAGTCGTACTATGAGTCATTGTAAGATCTTTATTTAGCATACGATATCCTAATAGACCAATTCCAGGTTATACAACAATTCAAGGATTTTAAAAAAGTTTGCAAATACTGGGACCGTGATTCCTAATTATAATTGTACATTTTTATTATTATTTAAAGAACAAAAAAATAATAATTTTGAATAATTTCTAAATATAAAACTATAAAAAATGTTCATTAGTACTAAGCAGTATCCAAATCAATTATGAATCACGGTCCCAGTATTTCCCAACTTTTTTAAAATCCTTTTAATTGTTGAATGACTTGGAATTTGTCTATTGGGTATCTCATGGTAAATAAAGAACTGTCAGTGGGCGCCTTATTGCCGGAATAAAACATCTTTATTATTGCTACTTTCTTCTCAACTGAATACATTTTATAAACTTTAAACAATGTTTAAAGATTGTATGATTGTGTGAATCAACAATTGTTTAAACAATAAATCATAAAATCAAAATATTGACAATTCAAATATTGCTGATATCTAATTTCATTGTGATCAAACGCAACCCGTCATACACATTCTGTAGTACGTGTGGCCTAACTTTTATAACAATACCTATTCTCAAATCTATTCGTGCGAAAAATTCTTTTACTTGGTATGCGAAGTTGTTTATAAAATTAAATATAATAAATATAAAAGTTGATTATAAAACGAAGGAAAACGATGAAATATGATGTTTGACATTTTATAGAATTTTAAATGATGCTTTAGCTTTAATGAAGTTCGTTTACAACTAACTTCAAATGACGTATGACATTTGACGTAAAGTAATTAAGGCACCAGGAATTTAACAGTTTAGAATTCCCTATTGAATTTCTAATGGTCCGTTTTATGATTCACTCGGTATATCTCGAGATAGATCAGAGAGATAACTGAAACAAAAACATATTGCAAAATTCTAATGTGTGACCTGATACTCCCAGAAATATGGCAACATGGTAATTATGACGTATGATAACATTTATTTTGCGCTTTTGAGTATCCGAATGTAATAACATTTGGTTGTCTTATGGTTCTATTAATGATGATCTAAAATAATTAACACATGTTAAAAAAAAGGTGTCCAAGAGTTCGCTACGTTGTACTTTCATCTCAAGTTGTTACAAAGTTAATAACGATGTGAGATTATTGTAGTATACTTCAATGATTTTCCGATGAAATCTGTTGATAAATTATTGAAGATGAAGACCGATAAGAAATCTCAACTAGAACCCCTTAAATGAAAAAAGTGATGACGAGTAACAAGCTTAATAAACAACATAGCAAAATATTTTATTGATATCCAATTACTTACTTACTTGCTCTTCCGTGGCTTTACACAGAATATTCTCTTTGCCGTTTACCAGATACCATTTGCCATTTATTCTTGTCACATATTATATCTTCTTCGGTGCGACATCTTTTTCCATTGCCGTTTTTATTTGTCCGTCCGACTGTAATCTAGGACTCTTTTCCTCATTCTTCTTGGTTATTATTTCCAAGTTCTCAGCGGTATTCTTGTCTGGTTCATCCTTTGCATATGTCCATGCCAGAGTAATTTTCGTTTTTCTATTCTATTCTATTTCGTCTCATTCACTCGCATTGGTTCTCTAATTCGTTCACATCACACCTTGTTCATTGGTGTTAATCATTTCCCTTGCATTTACTCTGCTTTCCATTGTTTTATTTGTCATCTTCGTCTCTGAGCCATAATCTAAACAGCTTTCCACTATTAATCTATTCTATTATTTTAGTATTATTCTATTTTCGTGGACTAAAAATGGCGCCATCTACCAAATGTTCTTTATCACTTCTTACGCAGTCAAATAATCTTCTTTCGTCTATAATGTCTTTTATCATTTTGCGTTTGTCGATTCATTTTTACAGTTCTGTCTTGTCTGTACCTGTCACAGACAAAAAGTCGTTCTTAGTCGTCTATTTTTTGTCTGTCATTTCTTCTTGTCTGTCATCAGTCACTTTTTAGTGATGTCATCATCATCATGTCTTCTTCTTTCTTGCCTATCGTTAGTTATTTTTTAGTCGTCTCCTTTTCTTCTGCCGACGTACGAGAGCATCCGTGCTTTAAATATCCAACGATATTTAAAACACAGACTTAACGCAAAAAGGGCCTAAACAGAGACATGTAATGTGTCACTTGATAGTATTTAACGATTCTCACTGCTAGCCGGACATCAAAAAGAAATTTCCGAAGTTATTTTAGGAAGGCAAATAACAAGTAGAGTAGATAGAGTAAAATCGAGTAAATTAGACTAGTACAGCTCTTTTAAATTAGTTATTAGTAATCGATATGGAAATCTATTATCGCCGTGTTCGCCAAGCATAAAAATGGATCAGAGTACTTTATTTTTCGCCCAAGTATGAGGCCATTGCCCTAATAGAAATATTGTTAGAAGCTTAAGCAAAATTACTTAAAATATGGGATAAAATAGTTAAAAATCAGTGTATTGAGCGAACTTAAAACCATATTCAAGTAAAAATGACAAAAGACGTGAATTTTTGCCTAGATCAAATTATCCTGGAATTTACATAAAGCGTAGTATATTTTAGCCAACTCTTGGACAGAAATAATAAGGATTAAAATCGAAACTAAAATTTGAAAACCTGTCATTTTCGGTTAAAATCATTTATTCATGATCATGCTTCAGTGCAACAGTAAATTGTTTTGATGTTTTTTTTCAACCGTACAGGCAGCTCATATACATTTCTGTTTAAAGGTGGGATTTTCCGTTGAATATTATTTATGTATTGCATGAAAATTGTTTTGTTTCACTTTTGCAGTGTGTCATCAGACTCTCTTCACAAAAAATTTGCAATTTACGGAGTACATTTATAAAACTTTGACATAAATCATTGTATAAACATTCTGATGGAAAAATATTTTTAAGATATTCCTATATCGTTTTAGTTAGATATCTTGACCATTAATTAGTTTAAAATCAATATAAGGATGAATGTTCGAATA